AACTTCATTTCTTAACAAAGAAATGACATAGAGCAATAGATTTTCTACCCGTAGCCTCATCTACTCATTCAACAAATATACACTGAAGGGCAGTCCTGTGCTAGGCCCAGATTTTGGTTTTCAAAAAACAAACCCAAGGTTTTAAAATGTCAGCATGCAGGATATTCACAACGTATGGGCTCAAGCTCAGGAGAGTTTCAAAATAAAGGTAAGGAGTTCGAGACCAGCCTAGCCACCATGGTGAAACCCCATCTCTACTAATAATACTAAAATTACCCAGGCATGGTTGTGCATGCCTGTAATCCCAGTCACTCAGGAGGCTGAGAGAGGAGAATCTCTTGAACCCAGGAGGCAAAGGTTGCAGTGAGTTTACAGAAAACTACTTTCATTCACTTGAATATCTGAACACTTATTTAGAGGTAAATAATATTAAAAATTAGTTACATTACTAAACAGTTACATCACATAAGGTGTGTGTGTGAAAGCATGTATTTACAGAAAATCAGATTTTTACGCGTCAGATACAAAGTAGATTGGTAAAGCTGAAAAGGAAAAAAGTTGTGTAAATCTGTTTTGCTTAAAGAAAAAAGAACAGAGAGAACTGAAAACAGTTCATGAAAACATAGAGTTGTTCCTAATACTGTCAAAATAATCAAGAAAAATACCCATTAATTGCTTGTATCTTAAGGGACACAACACTACCACGGGTTTCACTGGATGAAAATGAAGTGAACAGTAATGGAACACTGTTGTGCCTGAACATTAACAGAACCACGCAGGATGGAGGAAGAGAAGAATAGAGAAATTCAGAATTATAATTACCCATAAAAATTGAGATTCCCAGGCTGGGCACAGTTGCTCACGCCTATAATCTCAGCACTTCGGGAGGTCAAGGTGGGTGGATCATCTGAGGTCAGGAGTTCGAGACCAGCCTGGCCAACATGGCGAAACACCACCTCTACTAAAAATAAAAAAATTAGCCAGGTGTAGTGGTGGGTGCCTGTAATCCCAGCTACTTGGGAGGCTGAGGCAGGAGAATCGCTTCAACCTCGGAGGCGGAGGTTGCAGTGAGCAGGGATCACACCATCGCACTCCAACCTGGGCAACAGAGCAAGATTCCGTCTCAAAAAAAAAAAGAAAGAAAGAAAATTGAGATTCCCATATAATTCATTGGTTAGCCCCCTAAACATTGTTTGCATTGTGGAAATTCAGGGAAAAGTAAATAGCTGTATAGTACTTACATCTTTTATAGCTACACACATGCCCGATGTTGCCAATCACAGGCCTTGTTTTATTGACAGCTCTCAACACAAAACAAATTCTTTTTTTCCAAAAGAAAGAAAGAAAAAAATGAAAATGAAAATTTGATACCTGACTTCTCAGGCTTAAGCACTCAGGAGGAACAATAACCACGATCACATTATTATCTCGACAGCGTTTGCCACATGCTAGGTACTATAATCGCACATTCATCCCCCCCCGAAACGTAGTAAGTCACATGGGAGGAGTCAAGGAAGACAGGATCAGTAGGAAGGACAACACGAGTGGGCAGAGAAGATTCAAGGTAGGGTGCTTTAGATAAACAGTGGGGAGAAGCAGAGGCAGTGAGACAAGGGAATTCTTTCTGCAGTTTGGCAAAGAGGATCCTGTGCAAATGGACCTCACCACCATGGGGTAGCACTTCACTGCAACATCAACTGAGGCCACAACAGAAGACAGTGAAGTCACCACCACGAGGTTTATACAAGTGGCAGCACAGGAGCAGATCTGTGGAAGAAACCCTCCTATGTTCACTCTACAGAGTCCCAAACAACAAAGGGTAAAGTACGTAAAAAGTTAACACTGAAAGAAAAAGTGGGCACGGAACAGGATTTGAAAATAATGAGTACAGAAGAAGGAACACTGATGGGCACAAACTGCACTAGTTACCCTGCATGTTAGCAAGCTTACACAAAAGCAGCTGTTCAAATAATTTCACTGATTCTGAGTCACTGAGGAAACAAAGATGGTGTCATACGATGTGTCTGCCTAAATTAGAGCCCCTAGACCATGTTCTGTGAGTACATGCTGATAAAAAGAGCTCAAGGGGTCCTATCTCTAACCTAAATGCTCACTGAAAAGGAATAAAAAAATTCTTTGTAAGCAAATTCATTGGAAGGAGTCATGCATGTTTCATAAACTGAGTCAGGGCCTTCGAAGCCTCATGAAAAGCCTTTGGCAAGAGCTTTATCACAGCCTCCCTCATCTGCAAATGAAGGATGACACCTTCATTTTTGATACCTTCCTACACATACCTGGGAAGATCAATGCAACACTGTTGTCTGGGCACCCTGAGGATAATAACAACCATATTTCAAGTTAGCCTTAAAATCTTTTCATCCTCTGGGCCTCTGGGAAGAGCCACACAGGTACACTCATCATATTTTGTCTGGCCCTAAAGCTACAGCTTACCAAATAACAGGAGTAACAGATCTTGTGTGCTTTTTCTTAAAACTAAATAAGCAAATCACTTAACTGCGAACGAGTTTTAGCATCTACCCCTGATTATAATTATCTACCCCCAAATACACTACATATCTACTAAGAGCTATAAAGTGGACTATGTACCTCCCAAAACCATATTTACAGGAATCTTCTGATGAAGCCGTGACTTCCTTATTTCTAGAACCATCCTGACAACAAGGAACGACTGCTTACTTTTAGTATTCACTCATTCCTTTACAGGAATTAGTCATGGCACAAACTAAAACCATGTCAAAGTAATATTTTTTGGGAAAAAAGTTATTTGCTTAACCAGAAGTTAAGCAATTTTGTTTTAAAATGAAAACTTAACTCAAATGGCAAACATAACAAAATATAAGTTCTGATTTTCACATTTCTGTTTAACAACTTCAAAACCCAATTTAGAGCATTCATTCATCAGCAGAATAAGGGAAGACAATCCTAACAAATGCCCAGAGCTAAAGTGCCTCATTGCCCTCTTGCACAGAATTTTAAATTTTAGTCTTTCACTCCCAGTAAATCTCTGTTAAACACAAAACCCAGTATCACTGTGTTCAAAGCTACTCAGAACTTATGCCTGCCCTTTAAGAAATCTAAATCTAAGAAAGCATTCATCCTGTGGCCAGGCATAGTGGCTTATACCTGTAATCTCAGCACTTCGGAAGGCTGAGGTTGGAGACCAGGACTTTGAGACCAGATTGGCCAACATAGGGAGACCTCATCTCCAAATAAATAAATAAATAAATAATTAGCCAGGCATGGTGTCACACACCTATAGTTCCACCTACTTGGGAGGCTGAGGTGAGAGGATCACTTGAGCCTGGAAGGTTGAGGCTGAGGCTGCAGTGAGCTATGATTGTACCATTGCACTGCAGCCTGGGTGACACAGCAAGACCCTGTCTCAAAAAGGAAAAGAAAAAAAAAAAAGAGCATGAGAAAAAAGGGAGAAATACAACCAAGGCTGATGAGCCTGTACACAAAGAGAGTTTCAAGATAATGAGAAGAAAAACAATTTGGACATGGGTTTAAATAATTCAGATCTTGGTGGGCTATTCAGATCTTTCTGTACTATATCTCGATTTTATTTTATTTTATTTATTTTTGAGACGGAGTCTTGCTCTGTCACCTAGGCTGGAGTGCAGTGGTGCTATCTCGGCTCACTACAACCTCTGCCTCCTGGGTTAAGGCGATTCTCGTGTCCCAGCCGCCCAAGTGGCTGGGATTACAGGCACATGCCACCATGCCCAGCTAGTTTACTGTATTTTTAGTGGAGACAGGTTTTCACCATGTTGGCCAGTCTGGTCTTGAACTCCTGACCTCAGGTGATCCGCCTGTCTTGGCATCCCAAAGTGCTGGGATTACAGGCATGAGCCACCATGCCCGGCCTATATCTCAATTTTCAATTGCTACTATAATCTCTAAAACACATCTTCCATACATAAAGGGCTCAGAAAATTGTTCTGCGAAGTCTTCAGATTTAAGGAGTCACTTTATGAAGGAGAAAAATGACTGGGAAAGTAATATCCACTCCATTGCCTGCCCCACCTCCACCTCAAAAAGAACAATCATTCCCGCACCCATGAAAGCATTTCTAGGCAAAAATCTTCAAAAGGACTCATGGGGGATGATTTCTCAGAGCGCCTGGTTAACTGGAGAACAAATGTTAAAACCACAAACTGATTTGCTGATAACTATTGGAGAGAATGTAGATGGAGCAAATACTATAACTGCTATCTTACTTTACAGGTATGATTACCTTTTCATTTTTCTATATATCCTCGTAACCTCAAGCATGCAGACAAAAAGAGATGCAAAGGAGACGCAGACGCCTCCAAAGGCTAGGGCATTTCTGGTTCTGGAGTGAGACAACCCGGGCCCACTCACTGCGTAAGCACAGGAAGTTACTTGAAACCCTCTTGGGTCCTTGTTTATTTTTTCTGTAACATGCAGATGACAATTTTGTATCTATGTCACAGGGTTGTTCTGAGGATGAAATGGAAGAGCATATGTAAAGCTCCTGACACAGTACTGAGCCAAATTAAGCATATGAAAATGTGATAAAAGCTCCTAATGCTTCAAAGCTCATGTTGCCCTGATATTGAATGCAGTACCTTTTGTCTAAGTCAATTGTTAGCCAAGATCAAAGTTTAGAAACAGATCATTAGTAACTCAGAGAGGAAGAAATTGTATTTTGTGTTTTTCAACTCCGCCACTAAATAATGTTCACATGCCTTAGGCTGGAAGTGCACCAATCCTGTGTCATTAGCCATGAGGAATCTTACCCCTACTTCGCCCACGTCTTCCGAACAGAAGGTAACTGACTAACACCCTGCGCTCCTGGAAGAGTCTCCCCTAGCAATGATGCAAGGAAAAGCAAAAGAACAAAATGCTCCTGGGCCCTGTGACATTCTGGCTTGTTTTGATACCAGTCCTCAAGTGAGAATCAGAGATTTGATCATCGGAGGCTTTATTTTAAAAAGATGAGGAAGGTACAGTACCTCTAGTCGTTGTATCCGTCCCTTGAAAAACATAAAGAGGGAAGAGTTTGGATAAGCAGCTTCCTTTTTAAGGAGAATTTCCTTAGCTTCATCCAGGCCTGCCTTGTTATCACTGCCATCCAAGGCAAAAAACGGGCGGACTACAGTATGATACCAGAGCAGAGCTAATCTAGAGAAGAGGGAGAGAAACATTGAGCACATAATTTTTCTTATATCATTTCCATCTTTCAAAAATTCAATATGTGTTTTTCCAATACTACTTTTTCCAAAAAGCTTACTATGCAGTCTCTGAAGAAGTAAAATCAGAGTGTCTTTCCCCATTTTAATGTTAATATTTGGAAAACTGCAACTTTAGCACAATATATAAATCAGAATACACCCTTCCCCCAGAGGAGAGAAAATGCTTTAACAGTAGCATTTAGCTTCTCTCAGCTTTCTAGACAGATCACTGAAGAGATGACTGACATAAATCTCTGAATGCTATACTTTACTCATCAATGCACCAATCAGAAATGGTAACCAGTCACCATGAAATTTACTGTCTCTTTGTAATAAAAGCTTTATTTATTTATTTATTTATTTATTTATTTATTTATTTATTTATTTTTGGCAAAGGAAAATGTTTTCTCTTGTGTTCACAATAGTTAGGGTGCAAGCCTAGAATTTAACTGTAATATCATGTACAAATAAATAGGTCAAGGGAAAAAGAAAATTTTCAAAAGGAATAAATTTAAATATAGAACCACAGACACAAATTATACTAAGTTGGGTTAAAATAAGTGACAGGATAAGACAAAGGGCCCTTTCTCTGGCCTTTGAAGATGCTCAATTTAAAAAACAAGCAAATAAATAAATTACTTCAGATTCCCTTGCCCCAAACTCATTCCTTAAAAAAAAAAAGTCTATCTTAAACTAGGTAAGCAAAACAGAGTCATTGGGATTTAATTTAATAAACAGACAAAAATGTTTAACTAGCATGTTAAATGTTTTTACGTAAATGCATACTTCTGGTATGCTTATAAATTTGGTTCTCTTACGGAGCTCATACAAATTACATTATAAATTCTATTAATTTCTTTATCAGAGATAAGCATAAAATAATATTAAGGTATAAACAAATGATCACCAGTTAACAAACCTGTTAATTTAAATTAATAAAGGACAACTGTGTAATTTAATGAGTTGAGAGAGGCAAAATTTTTTCAATGAAAAATTAATGATATTTTAAATAGCTATCAGTTGATTAAGAGTTAACATCCAAATTTCTCAGTATTGACACAAGTAGAAATAGAGGTAAGGTCCTCTGTGATATCAACATTTTCTGGGGAAAATTTTGACAAGTGCTGTGCTGTTAGACAAAGAACATCTGGTACTTGTAAAATTACTCAAGTTGCAAACCGTAGCTACTTGCCAGACTAAAACAAACAGACAAAAATCACATCACTTTTAACTGATGTAGAAATGAGTGGATTCTTATTCTAGATAGTTCTAACAGCTTCCCCATGCTCTCCAGCTTAAATAATTATTACTTAAGTTTAGAACGAGGAACACAACATGAATCAGTTTAGTGGAAGAGCATAAAATATCCATGCCACGTATAAGAAACCACCTTCAATCATCAAGGAAAATCACCCAATATGAGGATTCTTTGTAAGAATAAAAATTTCAGAACCACAGAAAAAGTTTATCAAATTTGTATCTTATGAGTCCAAATACCAGAATCGTGAATCTCAGCGACTATGGTCAAAGTCACAAAAACCGCTTATAAAATCATTTGAGGTTGAAAGATAAGGTCATGTGATGTGTTTAAAATACAGGACTTATGACACTCCTGAACAACACCTTATTCTCTAACTAAAGTCAGCTCAGAACCACCAACACGACCACAGAACACAGTCCTCGGTGTTGCACTGAAAGACGTAAGACATAGCATCCTGTCAACCAACCAAACATTTTACCTGAAGTTTCCTTTAAAGTCTTTGATGTCGTTTACTTACTTTCAACACTACATTATCTACCAAAGCATTGCAATACAGCTACTCACGTAGCTAAAGGGGCCTTCATGTCCTTACTTTCGCTTGCATACATCAGTGAAGAAAGCCCCTGTAGGCGGTCTCCAGGAAAACCCAGCAGGTTGATGATTTTGAGCAGGTTTGGGGGCACCATGGATATGCAAAGGTGAAAAAGGCCATATCCAAAGCTAACAGCACCTTTCAGTCTGTTCAGAGACTCCTCAGACACCCCTTCAGCCACAATGTGATTATCATTTGCAGCATCAGAAGTCAAGGACTCTTCAGTTAACTTCTTCTGATACAGCTCCTGAAGGGCATTGATGTCCAGATAGCATTTATTGTAAATCTTCCAGGCTTTCCTGAGGATCCACCCACCTTTGATGTAAGCTAAAAAGAGAAGGGGAAAAAAACATTCAAAATAATTTTTGTATTTCTATAGTAAGGGATACTGAACAGTAATCTGAAAATCAAGCAAACAATTTAAAAAACATAAAAATTATTGTTTGTACCCAGTTTTCTTATAGTGCTTACTTAAATTTCTTATTTCTCCTAAGTCTCCCTTCACTACACTGGATGATGTCTGGTAAGCATGTGATTTTCTGCTCGTCGTTCTATCAAGCCCTTCACGCAGTACACAGAGTATGGTATGCAATATACATTGAAGGAATGAATGCATCACTTGAACCCAATATCTTTTCACATGTTCTGTGAAACCCTCCATTGCTTTCCTGAATTGCTATACTGCTTTCCTGATAAACTTTTTTATAATCCTTGCATTTGTCTGCCCTGTGTTACATTCCTCCTCAGAAGGAAATTCTTGGTCTTGGTCTAGGTCTAGGTGACCATTAAATTTCTAGCCAAGGTTGGGTACAGTGGCTCATGCCTGTAATCTACCACACCCGATTAAATTGTGTATTTTTTATAGAGATGAGGTTCCTCCATGTTGCTCAGCCTGGTCTCAAACTCCCGGACTTAATTTATCTGCCCACCTCAGCCTCCCAAATGGCCCTACTGTTGACTGCTCCTCCTAGGAATATTTTTACCTTCAGATGAGTAGGAAGGGCAGAGGAGTTTTCAACTTACATAGGACTATCTGAGTGCATCATCATTGCATTTTTGAGGAAAGGATTTTCTGTGGGGAATTTTCTGAAAGTTCTCTCCTAACTATGAGACAGTTTATCCACTTGGCAATGTTACTAATATGATACCAACTCTGATCCTCATGCACAAATGGACAACGTAAATTGTCAGACTTACAGGCCCTTTAGAACAGTAGGAAAAGAGGTTTTCAAAGAGGTATTTTTAAATTTCAGAAATATATAAAATAAAATCTGATTTACAAAAGCCTAATCCAAGAATTGAGAGTGATCTAAGAACAGATGTGTAGAAAACAGTTGATGCAGCGGGCCTGACTGCTATCCTTCAAACAGAACTGCTAACAAGGTTGGCTCTTGGCTGGGTTGGGAGCTCAGATTCTGGGAAGGTTCTTACTATTTCCGGGACTGATAAGAGTCGTTCACTGTGTGCACCTTAACCGCCTACACAAATAATATGATGTACATTGAACACTCATTTTTCTTCTGGGAGTCTGGAAATTGTCTATGTACAAGGTAGGGGCGCCTACACGATCGGCCACTAATAACAACTCTGGCACTAAGTCTCTAATGAGGTTCTCTGGATGGTGACATTTCATTTGTGTTGTCATAATTCGTTTTTGGGGCAAATTAGCACATCCTGGGTGACTACCCTGAGAGCAGAGCCCTGGAAGCTTGTGCCTGGTCTCACCTAGACTCCACCCCATGTGCTTTCTCCCTTTGCTGAGTTCCCTTTGTATCTAAGAAATACAAATGAACTGTAAAACATAATCTAAGCCCTCCAAATGTCTGCAATAAAATTAGGACAGAAAACCAATACAAATGAAAAAATAAGCATGCAACATAATTTTGCTGTAAGAAACCACAGCTGAGAATATGATTATAAGATGAGTCTTGCATGCAAGTCATCAAACCCGGGGGTGGTCTTGGGGACTCCAAATCCATGGTATCAAGCTATTATTTTACTTAAATGCATCAATTTTCTGACAAATGACAATCATATCACCCATGAGATCACATTTAAAAATAACCATCCTACAACGTTTGGGTGATTAATGTCCTATGGCCTACCTCCACTAAAAAGAATGCTAGAGTATAGAATTAACAAGTAAAACAGATTAACCTACAAAATTTTTAAAGTAACTTTAAAATAATAAAATACATTTAAAACAATTTATTTTCATTCGTTCAAATTAAGAATATTTACTGTACAAACATCACATTTCAAGCACTGTTCTCAGTGAATCAAAGTGAATGAAGACAGAGATTCCTCCTTTATGAGGCTCAATGACTTTCTCCCCTCCTAAATGGAAGCACTATGGAAAAGAAAGCCTGGAGAAAACCCTGAAGCTTCTTTTATACTAACAAAGTGGATTTTTAAGTGTCTGGATTGATCCAGCATGCCCACAAACAAGAAAGATGATACTTAGTAACAATCAAAAAAGCCAAAGATTTAACAGAAAAGCTGGAAAAAAAAAACCAAAGAGGAATCTAGAATATATATTCTTGAGAACACAGAGGCAACTGGAATCTAATTGAAAGCAAATAATCACTGGTTGCAGATTTTTTAAAAATCTGTAAAACCATAGAAGTATCAATCTGCTATTGATTGTTTCTGTTATGTGCCTGGCATTGTGCTTGCCATCTGAGGAACACCAAACAACTATAAAATATAGTCCAACCCCTCCTAATGCTACTATAAAATTAGAAAAGAAAATAAATGCAAAGAAAAAAATAAACATGCAACTTAACATATATATTTAAATGCTCTACTGGGTCATATACAGAAAGAGTGAAAACAATGCTAAGATGATGAGTGAATTTTTTTTAATCTCCTTTTTTGTCATTAAATAGTTTTCCATATAGTAAACACATAAATAAATTAGGAGTACAAAATAGTTATTGCAGGATTTTGAAAGAACGCCTGACTCCTACCCATTCTTAACTGGAAATTTGGAGGGATAAATTTAACTCCATTTTATCCTGTATTTTCCAGGCTAACTCAGGTTTATTAAAGGAAGTGAAGCTTGTACTTAGGGAAAGGATATGTCCCAGGAGAGAAGAGCAGGAATGCCAGTAGGAAGGAGCAGATGGGCGAGCAGCTTGGAGGCAGAGTGAAGCATGGGACACACTGGAACAGAAGGGTGCAAGCCCAGCAGAGGAGTGAACACCTGCTCCCAGAGAAATGGGATCGCTCAAAGTGACGTTGAAGGGACCAGGATTACAGACATGAATGGTAACAATCCCAACCTCAGGTGAGGAGCAATAGAAACGGATGGTAGAACTGAAAACGAATGTAAGAATCCATCTGCTCCTGAGTGCATAGAACTAAATCAATAAAACCTAACAGAAACCTCCATGGTGAAAACCCCACTTTTAGAATAACAGTATAATAAATTCAACCTGGCTTTAATTTTGTGCCTAATTTGGGCACCAATGTCTGAAAGCACGTGGTAAACTCTATGGTAACAACCTGTAAGACCCTTAATCTGAGCCAAAGAAACAGAACCCACGTTTTCAGCTGAGTCAAAGATTATAAACTGAAGTACGTCAAAACAAACTTAATGCACATGTCGAGAGAGGTTTTGCTTTTAATACATTCTACGTCCAACTTGGCACTGAAACAGGTTCTCTCGGGACTTGCCCTACTCTTCATTCCACACTGTGAAGCAAAAAGTCCAGCCACAGCCAGGCCCTTCAGGAGGAGGCAGAGGCTGGGGGAGGATGTGGCAGACAGAGCAGCATGCTCCGCACCGTGGCTCCTACAGGGGCGAACCGTTCCAGCAGCTCCACTCGAGGATGCAGCACCTGAGCCCACGTCTTCCCAACAAGCAGAGAACATGCTATTTAAAAGCCACATACCCTGCACAGCCTTTCATCTGGCTGCTCTGAAAGGTCAAGCATGAATCATTTAGCCATTGTTATCTCTGTGTCTGTGGAGGGAGGTGGAGACAGCAGAAAACCACAGACCAGGCTGGGCAGGGGGGAACTCATGCCTGTAATTCCAGCACTTTGGGAGGCTGAGGCAGGCAGATCACTTGAGGTCAGGAGTTCAAGACCAGCCTTGCCAACATGGTGAAATCCCATCTCTACTAAAAAACACACAAAAAAATAGCCGGGCATGGTAGCAGGTGCCTGTAGTTCCAGCTACTAGAGACGCTGAGGCAGGAAAATAGCATGAACCTGGGAGGTGGAGGTTGTAGTGAGCCAAGGTTGTGCCACTGCACTCCAGCCTGGGTGACAGACTATTTGTCCCACTCTACAAGGTCCAGGCAACAACCAGCCGAGAGATGGAACGAGTGAAAGGAAACCTGCCCCATACAGGGATAGGGGAAAGGGGAAGAGCTGCCTTCAAAATGGAAATATCAAGTTACTCTAAATTCATCTTGGATAAATTTCGTAATTTTTCAGGGGGATTGTATCTAGTGCGAGGATCTACTAAAGCCTGCCTATTCAATTGTCCTGGAAGGAGGCTGGTTAACCCATGATGGAAGGTAATTCAGGCTTGTCTTTCTTGTAACTCAAATAACAGACTTTTTTTTTTTTTTTGAGACAAGGTCTCACCTGGGTTGCCCAGGCTACAGTGGAGTGGCACCATCTCACCTTACTGCAGCCTCAACCTCCCAAGCTCAGGTGATTCTCCCACCTCAGCCTCCTGAGTAACTGGACTACAGGCACGTGCCACCAAGCCTGGCTGATTTGTTGTATTTTTAGCAAAGATGGGGTTTTCCATGTTGCCCAGGCTGGTCTCAAAGCTCCTAGACTCAAGTAATCCACCCACTTTGACCTTCCGAAGTGCTGGAAGTGACCGTGCACAGGTGGGAGCTACTGCGCCTGGGCCAAGACTTTCAGGGACAAAAGATGATTTCATTTTCACCAGTCAGCCCACCTCCTCACTATCTTTACCCCTCACCAACAAACTTCTAATAGGCTCACTTCTCCAATCCCAATATCTTTCCTAAATGGCATTACCATTCTTCCATTTCTTCCCTTTAATTATGCCTGAGGCTGCAATTTTTTGAATTTTTGCAATCAGACCTTGGCAATGACCTTGAGCTATAGGATATAAATAGCTCCCACATGCTTTGTGTTCCAATAATGGAACACTAGGTATAAATAGATTTTAATATTCACCCACCATGTTCTAGGCAAAAACATCCTACCAGGTTCCAGGGACACAGAGAAGGAAATTCTTTACAACCCTGCTCAGGGCTAAGGGATCCTTGATCTTCCCAAATGTTTAGAATTACTTGTTCCCTATTCAACCTCTATGACTAACTTATGTGTCTATGG